GCGGTGGAACTGGTTTGTTAGTGATGATGACTTGTGTGGAAAATTTGGGGAGGAAGGAGAACATACGATGAAAATTGCATGATCATCATTTCGAAACGACCTTTCAGAGGGTAGAAGAACCCATCTGCAAGGACTCTGTACAGATCCTTTGCGGTGGACTTCTGTCGCTGTGCTTCGCGTTGCTGACGTTTCTTTTGGACTTCCATTCGGGAGGAGAATGTGCGGACCTTGAGTGCATTGGGCCCAGACAGGGAATCTGAGGCATCGGCGGCTAGTGGTTCGAGTGAGGCGCGTGATAATTGCTTGGTTAGGTTTGCGATTGGCGATTCGGCCTCAGGCTGATACAGAGCTTCGAGGTTACCAGGGAGCTTTTTGGACGGGAACGAAGCGTCGGATACGCGTGGAAGACCTAGTGCTTTAGCGTCTGCTTCGCCATTTCCGCCGAGTTCGCGAGCACTCAAGCCTAGAGCTGTGAGGATCGTAGAGCGCTGTGGTTGAGATAGGTCCCCATCGAAGAAAATGGCCGAGAACCAGTGGCCCATCTTGAGAGGTTGAGATACGATCAGTGCGATCATGCTTTGAAGTTGGACTTCCTGGAATCTGGGAATCTTTCCATGCTCATGTAAGCCCACGATAATGAGTGCCAATTCTTCTATGTTCTCAGCAAGCTCTGTTCCAAATCCAGTCTTGCGTCGGATCAGGGAAGGAGCGGTAGAAACAGCCAGTTCGTAGCGCTCTACGTTCTCGGCGTCGCGTAGGTAGGTTATAAGGTCGCGGATGTACCTAACTCATGGTTAGTGGCCATATGTGTTACGGTTCGTTTTGTCACATACACTGGTGCGGTAGGTTTGTTGCGTTGGACCAAGGTTGGGTCATCATCAGAATCTGATGGATCTTCATCAGGCTTTTCATATGGGATGAGATCTTCATCTTCTTCGTCCTCTTGATCCGAGTCATTGACCTCTTCTATGGCAACGATCTTTGCTCTTCTGGTGTCTTTCTTTGGAATATTGGTCCTAGAGGTTCGGTTTTTGGTATGCTTCTCAGTTGTCGCTGGAGGCCCTCTGAGCGATTCAATGGATTCAATAGACCCAACGGAATCGTGTAGTTTGGCAAGGTCTAAGTACCAATGTGCCTCATCACTTTCCATCTCTTCAAGATCAAACCTCATCCCTTTACCTTGCTGCTCGATGAGCTGCGAGATAGTAGTTCCAATCAGCATACCGAGAAAGCGCGCTCTGGGCGAAGACGCTGCTAGGCGGTTTGAGACGGTATTCAGAAAGAGTCCGGTGCGTCCAATAAACATCATTGCTGCAGCATCAAGCCGCTGGAGGTAGCCCGCAGCGAGAAGAACAACTTGGGCATTGGCTGATATATGTTAGTGCCTTTCTGCTATACAGAACACATTGATACAGTACCTTCTTGACACCTAATAGGAGCGTGCTGAATGTAGAACTTGTCACCTGATTGATCTAGGCTTTTACTAAGAAGGGTATTGATCGAGTCTAATGTGATCCATGTCAGCTAGAAAAACATTGTCAAGAGGGCTTACTCCTACCTTCTTCCTGTGCTAATGCAGCCACTAGAGCACGGCGCAACCCAAGCGAATGGATCGAACCGCCTTGGCCTTTTGACAGCCAATCGATGATCTGAACTTGCAGATGTGACCGTTTTGACACGGCAATTGAGCAGAGAGCTGCTACGCTACTGACCACTTGTCCCGAGGTGTTGCTGGCACTGTCACCAGGGATTTCACCTGAGAACTGCTTTTTCTCAAGATCCCGAAAGACAGCTTCGAGCAATGCTAGTTGTTCCGTTGGCCGGAGACGGTCAAAAAGCGAGCTGTACTGTTCGGAAAGTGGTCGCTGAACAAGAAGTCCGGTATAGATCTCTTTGACAACCTGATCTGTATCATGCTTAGCCTACCAAGCCTATCAGTAAAGGGCTTTCTCAAATACCTGTATAGCCCAAGCTTAGCGACCTCCCAGTCAAAAGAGCCACGGATTTCCAAGCCTCTTCATCACTGAGAGCTGTCTTCGATGCCATATAGCAGATATTCGAACCTAGCCAGGTAGCGTATTTCGAGCCTTCCCCGATCCAAGAGATTGTAGAAATCCCGTCAAGCTCAGAGATCAGAGTAAGCGCTTCTGCCGCTGTAGACAATACTTTACTGGCAGCAAGCACCGAGAGCAACTCCCTCCAAGCCACTTGCTTCTGTGTCGCATTGCTGTACAGATTATCCATGTCAGCGTATAGGCGAAACGCAAAGTCGCTCGGCTCCAACAACGCAGAAATAACCGCAAGTGTATCTCTAATCTGTATCTTATGACCGGATGATTTCGCCTGCTCAGCCGATGATCGGGACGCAGCTATGAGAGAACGGAGCTGGGTCACCAAGCAACTGATACCCGCAACACTGCTCAGACATCTCAGAAGAGCAGCTCGCAGCTTTGTATTACCAGACTTTGAAATCTGTGATTGTGGCCCAAGAGCCTCCCAATGATCCGGGATTGTAATGCTAACCAGAGCATTGAGAATTTGCGCTGTTACTGGGCGCGGAACGCGGATATCAAAATCGTTTGGACTTGCTGTCTTATTTGATGGATCTAGTATGGCTAGAACTTGAGCAAGATCGTGCTCGTCGGGGTTTGCCTTCAAGACGGCCAAGATATGATCTGAGGATGTTGGGTCCCCGGGGAGATCGGCTTTGGACCGGTGCTCAGAGCCGTTAGATGTGGTGGCTGAATATATTCCCTCGGCAGCAGCCGACAAGTTGGGCTGCTGGCTGTGCTTGACCGTCTTAACGGCCGTAAGTAGACCATCCATTTTACAAATGTGGCATTATCCTCGTAATAGTTGCGAGGAAAGGAGGACCAAGTTGTGGAAGTTGGAGGAAATTGTATGGCGCGGAGGGGTCACGTGGGGCGGTGCTGTATCGATCTAACGACCATTCGAGACTCACCATCCCCATCATCCCATCATCACCTCCACGCTGTCTACAATCTGATAACTCGGAATCTATAGCAACGTAGCTTTTGGCTGTGGAGCTATTATTCTGCTTATACATTGGACGCCAGGTTAATTCAAGCTGGCGCAGGAGCTCACAATAAGTGCAGCTCAGAGGCAAGAGATCACTTGCTTATGCAACAAGAGCTTGAGTAGAGGCAAATAATTAGCGACCTGACTATCCTAGACAACATATCCGGAAAATGGCAGCTACAAGTTCGCCTCAGCGATGGTGAGATGACTTATTTACTCCATAGCCGCAGCTGCTCATATCACCCAGGAAGCATCTATACAGCGTCCTGACTAAGTCCGGACCCTTCAGTGATGAAGATTGGGTCCCTGGACCAGAGACGATAAGTGCTTTAGAGTCATCCAAAATTTTGTACGTGTCTGACCGTATTGATACTATCGTGCTCGCTAACAGTACTACAGGGTCATGTAAGTCAAGGCGATTCTTACTCCCTTATAAATACATGGATAGTAACCAAGAACTGCTTACAGAGGCGCTGGAGGACTAGGATGTGAGATTCTCAAAAACCTGGCTTTGTCAGGCTTCAAAGACATCCACGTCATTGACATGGGTAAGTCCTTCCTAGCTTGTAAACACTGCAAATGACTAACACGTGCAGATACGATTGATATTTCCAACCTGAACAGACAATTTCTATTTCGCCAGTCAGACATAGGCAAGCCCAAAGCGGAGGTTGCCGCTGCCTTTGTAGAAAGACGAGTCAAGGGGGTTAAGATCACACCGTATGTAGGGAAGATCCAAGACAAAGACGAAGATTACTACATGCAATTCAAGATCATCGTCTGTGGCCTTGATAGCATTGAAGCCAGACGATGGATTAACTCAACCTTGGTCGGAATGGTCGATTTCGAAGATCCAGAAAGTCTGAAGCCACTCATCGATGGTGGAACAGAAGGTATGTTTGCTCACTCACGCCGGCTGCAGAATAAAGCACAACTGACCGATAACAGGGTTCAAGGGACAAGCGCGTGTGATTTTACCCACGCTTTCCTCTTGTATCGAGTGTCAGCTTGACATGCACGCGCCGCGACCGGCCGTTCCTCTTTGTACCATTGCAACCATTCCGCGCCAGCCTCAACACTGCATCGAATGGGCTCATCAGATCGCCTGGCAGGAACAGCGCAAAGATGACGCATTCGATAGCGACGACATGGAGCACATTGGCTGGGTCTACAATGCTGCTCTGGAGCGGGCGAAGCAGTTCAATATCCCTGGCGTCACTTTCCAGATGACTCAGGGAGTTGTCAAGAACATCATCCCGGCTATTGCCTCAACCAATGCTGTGATCGCAGCCGCAACTACCTCCGAGGCATTGAAGATTGCCACATCGTGCAACCCGTATCTTGAGAACTATATGATGTATGCAGGAGAAGAGGGCGTGTACACGTACACATTTGAGGCGGAGAAGAAGCCAGACTGCCCGGTGTGCGGAAATCTGGCACGCAAATTGACCGTGAACCCGAATATGACGCTTGAGGAATTCATCGAGACCCTTGGAGAACGGCCTGAGGCTCAGCTGAAGAAGCCCAGTATGAGGACGGAGGAGAAGACACTCTACCAACGGTTCCCGCCGCAATTGGAGGAACAGACTCGCGCTAATCTGAAGCTTAAGCTGAAGGACTTGATTGAGGACGGCCAGGAAATCGCAGTCAGTGACCCGGCGTATATCATCGATTTCCGCTTCCGACTGGCGTTTCAATAGACGAAGGGCCGCTGTGATGGACCGGCAACTACACGTTACGAAGAATCGCTGATGCTCTGATGATCATGTTCAAGACCTAGGAAGTCAAATCTGCTTTTTCTATCACAAAAAGATCCCAGTCCAGACTCCCAACAAGTGTAAAGAAGGTTGTCACCAACTTTTCGTAAATGTACAAAATCAACAAGACAATCCAACGCCAGGCCAATGCATTATATAGCTTTGAATCATTTTTCACGGAAGGCTGAGTCAAATGGCTTTGACTTAGCGCATAAGGTCCGTCAAGCCACGCTTCCATCTTGCGCATTTGAGCTTCAAGACCTTGACACTCTCCAGGAAGAGGGTATCACTTTCGAACTGGCCAACACTCTCGATGTTGAAGATGAAGTGGTCGCGGACGCGACCGAGCTTGACCTTGCCCTGGAACTCCTCGTGTCTCAGACACTCTCTGCTGACAGTATCCTTGAAAGGATCCACAACAACTGCCTTCAATTCGCCCTCGTGGCCCTCATATCCGCTCTCCTTCTGCTTGGCTTCCTCACGAGTGACCTTCTCGAGGCCAATAACACCGCTGGGGAAGCACTTGGCGAATTTCTTGGCATCGTCTCCAATGATGGGGCGAAGGATCTTGATGTCGGGGAGTAGACGGTAGGTGGCCGTGGCGACGGGAGAGAACTTGGCATGGTCGGCACCGATACCCTTGATACAGTGAAGTTCCATCTCGATCGACTGACCAGGACGGAGCTTGGCGACCAGGATGTCCGGGTTGACGGGCTGGATTGCGTCATCGCCAGCAAAGAATTGTTCCTGGCGACCGACGGGGTGGAATGTAATATCTTTGGCGTAGACGTGCGCATTCTTGTAGAGCTTGCGGGGATCATCTTCCTCCGGGTCCGCGTTGGGGTTCTTGGTACATTCGACGTCCAAGCGCAAGACGATGGTGTTGTAGTCGGCGGGGTTGCTGCCATTGGGATCGTCGTCGGTGGGCTTCTTGAACCAGCGCATCCAGTTGATGCCCTCCACGGAACCCTTGAGGGGAATCAGACCCAGACGTTGTGCGAGAACCTCATCCTGGATGACAGAGGTGTTGTTGTGGACGAAAACGTATTCGATGGCGATGCTGGGCACCTCGGCCATGAGAATACGACGGAAGGCGTTGGCAATGGAGGCGTCGACTCCGATGAGAGAGAAGGAGGCTTCGAAACGCTCGTTGCGGTGGAAGTCGATCTTGAGATCCTGTTCGCGAAAAAAAGAGACGTGTGAGCGCAAAGCTGATGGGACTTGTGTGGAGAAGTGACAATGTGAGCGCGAACACTTAATACTACCAACGTACATTCTTGAACTTTTCGAGGGACCATTCGTGCGACTCGCCGGGCCAATGACCAGGGAAATCTGTGGAGGGGATGTTGGAGACGGTCTCTGGGTTGATGTCGACGATCTGGAACTCAATGCAGTCAGTATGATGGACGAAATAGGAACAAGAGGTCACGGTCGGAAGACAGAACATACCCTTCTGCGATCAAGCTCCTCCTGCGAGGGAACGAGAGGCGCCATGATGAATGATGGACTTAGAAAGCCGCGGGGAAATTTGGAGGAGGAAGAGGGACAGACAAAGTGGAGGAGCAACTGCGAAAAGTTCTTTGGCGGAAGCGGCAGTATTTTCTGAAATTCTGCAGGCCGCAAAGGCGGAGAGACGGGTGTATATAACACACCCAGCAGTTTAGGGAGGAATCGGCACTAGTGGTGAGAGTTTTAAGTGGCTAACGGCAGACCAACCAGAGACGGGCTGATGACCATAAGCTCCTCTCACGTGACTGCCCAAATTGTATCTCGCCTGGAAAGCGCAACCTCATCCAACGAGGAGCAAGCGTCAGTCCGCATCGCTTCCAATCCCCGCCAATTCCCCCTCCTTCCAACCCAATTGCGTCTGGATTGAGGGCTCTCCGCCTCGCTTCACCCTCATCCTCACTCCCCGCTCTCCCGAATGGCTGCTTCCTTCACTCGCCTGGCGGGCAGCGCGCCCAAAAGGCTCTGCCTCCGCCCCTCGAGCTTCTCCAGAAACACTGCTATCCCCAGATCCCGGACGATTTCGACGTCGCTGCCTCGCCGGTACGCAGAACCCACCAGCTACCAGGCCACCCGCCTCATCCCGGCCGACCCGACCTTCACATCTCTGGCCAACAAGGAGGGCCCTTCGGAGGCTGATGTGGGCGCCGCCCTCGAGTCCGAGGACTCTGGAGCCGGCCGCAAGATCCGCCATTACACCGTCAACTTCGGTCCTCAGCACCCTGCCGCTCACGGTGTGTTGCGTTTGATTCTGGAGCTCAATGGTGAAGAGATCGTCCGCGCCGATCCCCACGTCGGTCTGCTTCACCGTGGTACCGAGAAGTTGATCGAATACAAGTCCTACATGCAAGCCCTGCCATACTTCGACCGATTGGATTACGTCTCCATGATGACCAACGAGCAGTGCTTCTCCCTGGCTGTTGAGAAGCTGCTGAACGTTGAGATCCCCGAAAGAGCCAAGTACATCCGGACACTGTTCGGTGAGATGACACGCATTCTGAACCACCTCATGTCCGTCCTTTCCCACGCGATGGATGTTGGTGCTCTGACGCCTTTCCTGTGGGGTTTCGAGGAACGTGAGAAGCTCATGGTAGGTGTTTTCTGGCATACTGAGCTGTGCGCTAGCCGCAATGACTGACATGAGCCCTTGAATTTAGGAATTCTACGAGCGTGTCTCCGGTGCCCGTCTCCACGCTGCCTACGTCCGCCCTGGTGGTGTGTCCCAAGATCTGCCCCTTGGTCTCCTCGACGATATCTACCAGTGGGCTACTCAGTTCGGTGACCGCATTGACGAGACCGAGGAACTGCTCACCGATAACCGTATCTGGAAGGCCAGAACCCAGGGTGTTGGTGTTGTCAAGGCTGCCGATGCTCTCAACATGAGTTTCACCGGTGTCATGCTGCGTGGTTCCGGTGTCCCCTGGGATATCCGTAAGTCCCAGCCCTATGATGCCTACGACCAGGTTGAGTTCGACGTGCCCGTCGGTGTCAACGGTGACTGCTACGACCGTTACCTCTGCCGTATGGAGGAGTTCCGCCAGTCCCTGCGCATCATCCACCAGTGCCTGAACCAGATGCCCGCTGGTCCCGTCCGTGTTGAGGACTACAAGATCTCCCCCCCTCCCCGTGCGGCCATGAAGGAGAACATGGAGGCTCTGATCCACCACTTCCTTCTGTTCACCAAGGGTTACGCCGTTCCCCCGGGTGAGACCTACTCCGCCATTGAGGCTCCCAAGGGTGAGATGGGTGTGTTCCTTGTCAGTGACGGTAGCGAGAGACCCTACCGCTGCAAGATCCGTGCTCCTGGATTTGCTCACTTGGGTGGTTTCGACCAAGTGTCTCGCGGCCACCTTCTGGCCGATGCTGTCGCTATTATTGGTAAGCTATACCCAGAGTGCCTTGACCATATCAACAACATACTAACATTTCTCTCTTTAGGAACGATGGATCTTGTGTTCGGTGAGGTTGACCGGTAGAAAAGGATAGGACCGTCTGATCTCCAACGAAGACCTGTATAACAGCTCAAAGACACATGACCCTGATTTATTGGTGCCAAAATCTCGATTAGAAGTTGCAGATATACCAAGAGAAAGATTAATTGTCTCTACTATTACCATCACATTCGGCTTGTGTGCGAGTTTGTGTAACAGGTCCACCTTTGGGCTATGGCGATCTCCCCAAAAACCAGGTTCAACCTGCTGTACCAATGTCCTTTTGCTTGTTACTTTGCTTTATGGCGTTGAACTTTTTCCTTTGTATCTGTGTCGCTGATGTTGCTTCCGTCGACTGTGTCTGTCTGTCCTCCTCCCCCTTTTTTTTCTTTCCTCCTTGTTCTCTCTTCCATAAACCATGTGTATAGTGACTCAAAACATCGAGTATGATTTTGGATTTGGTGCAGTAGTAGTAGTAGAAGCACTTTATGGGAAGTGAATGTAACTATTTTAAATGTAACCTTAGGGTCAATTACTATGTCTGTACCGAAGAGAGTGTGTAGCGAAATATGTATATGTATGTATGTTGTAATATATAAGACAGGAGATGTAACTGTGTAAAGAAAGAAAGAGTAAACATGAAAGAACAAAACCCACGCGTAAATGCATTTCATGCATGATACCAACGCTCCAGTCGAAATCCAGTTAAACTCCTCGTTCGCCTTGATAAGAATCAAGCAAGCAAGCGAAGCAAATAGCGAATCAAAAAGAGGAACTTGAATATGATGTGAAGAAAATGATAATGGAAGATCAAGATCACGCGCCAATATCAATGCAACCACCACCACCACCACCAATTTCACCTCCACTCATCTCCCCGATATACTATACATTATCATCATCATAATGAAAATTAATATCCCTAGGTCTCCTCCGATTATACGACACAAAGTCACTATCACCGGGAGGTCGCTCATTGCGCGAATTAGCCGTCAACATGCTCTGAATACTCATGCAGACGCTCTCGACCGTCTGTACGGGTGACCAGCCTGCCGAGCTGAGCAGATCGAGACATATTATGCCGTTGCTGTAGATGTGTGGGTGGATGGGGATCGGACGGGGGTGGTCGGAGGTGGGTGGGCATTCGATGAATTGGACTTCGGGGGGTTCTATTACAATTTTTAAAAATGAATTGCGTTAGTTAGTTTGTTTATGATTCGAGGGACTGTGGAAGGAAATTGTAATTGTGGGGGGTAACAATACCGATTGGGTACTTATTGCTAAAGGTGAATTTGAGTCGGTAGGTCTCGTTCTGGTAGAGCGGGTTGGAGTCGAGGACTTTGATGTCCATTTGCCATTCTTCGAGGTTTTCGGACTTGACGATTGTGATTCCGGGGGGAAGGTGGTCTTTCATCTGTGGAGTGGTGGGGAAGTGCGTTAGCTGTGTGGGAGTAGCGCCATTGGAGTGTCGATAGTGGCTGTGATCGATCTGGTAGGGTGAATGTTGCAGGTATTAGGGAAGGGTACCTTTAGAAGCTCCTGTAAGATTTGTGTTAGTTGCAATGGTCGAGATGATGAGCGGGGTGGTAGGTGGCATGATGACTTACCTTGCTCAGGCGCTTGCCGGCAAACATGGTGGGCAGAGCGCCTCTTCGAGGCAGAAGTGACAGTCGGTTTATTGGAAATTGCTCAGGGAAGATCTGGTGGGTAATAGTCGGCCAGCCTTGTCGGGAAGGAATTGTCAAGTCGTGGAGGCGCACAGATGTATGACGTCTACAACTTAGGGCGGGGCGATCGACGAGACGGCGGATGAGTTGTTGGACAGGGCGGGCGCAGTGACAGACTGAAAAGTGACAGTGCTAAGAGATCTAGTAGTAGTGAATGCCCGAGAAAAAAAACCCGAGTGAAGAGAGACTGAGGAGGGGAACATGAAAGAGAGGGGACAGGAAGTTACTTAAAGAGGGCCGCGAGGGTATCTCCGGGCGATCATCTGCTGGCGGTGGCTGACGGGGCCGCACCCCATCACCTGATTGGTCCGGACCGATCACGCTGGGGACATCTCCCACGTGATATCCCGGCATCTGATTTGGTCATGATTAGAGTTGTTTCTACTTGGTTCATCATTATTGGGAGGCAATTACATCGATGCGAGTCATCTACATGCGGCGTATAGTTGGAAGGTCATGTCAAGCCGAATATGAATTCAGATCACAGAAAGGAATATTATCTCCGTAAATCGAAGCCTCCATTAAAGTCCCATCTCGTTCAGCAAACCAAGAAACAGCAAAAAGAATACGCCAGATCAGTATATGGACGGGGAATCATCGAAAGTTATTCACAGAAAACAGTTCAGTGATGGTCCGTGACCCAACAAGAATGGAACCGGTGCAGCAGCAGAAAGCAAGTCTCTATCAACGCCATCCGATCAGGCCTCATGCATGGGTGGTCCGCTCACGAGCTTCACGCTCAACCTTCTCGCGCTCCTCGTTCTCCTTCACCTCACGGACCTTGGCGAGCACAACTTCACGGAAGATGGCGCCGCGGGCAATCTTGCTCAGACTGCGCTTCTTCGTGCCGGTCGCCTCGCCCTCTGCTGGCGCGGAATCCGACTTGCCATTGGGCGAGAGTTGAGGGAAGGGCGTCGTGCCAGATGCCTTCTCTGCCATTTCCACCGGGCTGGGGATGTCCTCATCATCCTCCTGCATCTTGAGCGCCTCGATGCGGTTCGCCAGCTTGATGATCTCGATGCCACGGCGAAGACGAGAGCGGGCAATGTAGGCACGGATCTCGGGCAGCAAGTCGCGGTCGCTGGCCGATTCACCGGTCAACCAGGTGTGCTTCAAGGCCTCATCGGATGTGACACGCTTGGAAGGATCGGGCTGCAACAGGGTGAGGATGAAGTCCTTGGCGTCCTGGGAAACATCGCGCCAGTAGCGCTCGTGGAAGATGATCTTTCCGCTTCGGCACTCTTCAATCAAGTCGGACAGGTTCTCGGAGCGGAAGGGGGAGTAACCGCAAAGCAGGGTGTAGGTGATCACACCGAGGGACCACATATCGACGGCCTTGCCGTGACCCTGCTTGAGCATGACCTCTGGGGCGGCGTAGCCGAAGGAGCCCGCCATGCTGGTCAGGACCTCACTCGGGCTATCCAGCATCTTGGCAATACCGAAATCTGCGAGGACCAGAGGGGAATGGGGGTCGGGACCAAGGTAGAGAAGGTTTTCGGGTTTCAGGTCTAGTCAGAGTGGATGCCAAGATTAGTCCAAGTCCTTGGAAGTGAACAATTGACGATATATAGGACATACCTCGGTGAACGATATTGCGTTCGTGCAGGTAGTGGACGGCGCCCAGCACCTGGCGAATGGTCTGAGAGGCATCCTTTTCGGTGAACTTGCCGTACTCGCAGATCCGGTCGAACAGCTCACCACCAGTGGCCAGCTGTGTGACAATGTAGAATTTATCCTGCCACAGCATTAGACAGGGGAACGTCTAGAGTATCCTGGATGCACCGACCTTCGATTCGAACCAATCGACGAAATGGACAATGTTGGGATGGTCGAGAGCCTGAAGCATCTCTAGTTCATCGTAGACCATGCGTTCGTTGCCCCGGACATTCTTTTTCAGGATGATCTTGATGGCGACCTTTCCCTTGCTGCTGTCGGCCTCACGAACGATACCGTACGTACCAGCGCCGAGTGTGCGTCCGAACTTGTAGTGGGACCTGAAACGAGTTGCACAGCGGTTATTATATGTCTGTAGATGTAAGGGGAGGCGAGCAGGGTCCTATCGTACTTTTTCTCGTAGCTTTCGGGCTGTCCCGACAGCTTGTTGAGCATATTATGGACTGTGAAATCACCCATTGGTCAGCGCTTGGACTTGCAGAAACGGAGAGAACTGGTATAGCCGCTCAATAAAATCACCAGAGAGGTGGACGGGTGCAAGCAGGGCAAGTAGTGATGGGACGATCGAACCGAAGAGCCAGAACAGGATGAGGATGCCACCTGCATGGACGCAATGGCCCCAGGTGATGGTGGAAATCAGAGACAAAGACATGGCTCATGAAAGACATGAGGCTGCCGTCCGGGCGCGATAGCACAGAAACCAATCAATGGCTGTCAATGGCAAGCTGGGCTAATGAAAGTGTATGCCATCGTGGAATGAACGAGTGGCTGATCGGCGACGAAAGAAAAACAAGAGAAGGGAAACGAAGAAAGGTAAAGACCTACAACTCATGGTGACTGGAGTAGAAGGGCCTTAGTGAAGGCCCTAGGGAAGGGGGTTAATCCGTGAGTAGTAGTGTGCGGTGGGCTCGAGACCAGCGAGCGCGAAGCTGAATGGGAACCCCGCACGTGAGGGAGGTTGGTAGCGGGGCGATTCAAGAGACGAGATCGCGAAAGTCGCGTTGTGAGAAATCGAGGATGAAGGTTTTAAAGACAGAAATCTGGGGGAGGAAGACGGAAGAAGTAAGTATTTGGTGGGATTAACTTCCGTACACGAGCAGCGACAGTGTCCGTGTGGAGGGTGGGAGGGGGGAAGGCTGATTGATGGTGGGTAAATCCCTCCATCCACCGATAGGGGGTAGTAAAAAAAGACCAAGTAACTGGGTAAACACACGGTACCTGATCGGGGGAGTCGCTGCTTATCGCTTATGGTAATGGCTGCACGTGCAAGACTCTGGCAGGCAAGGCAAAGCAAGGCAATGCAATGCGCTGTTGTTGTCGGTCGGAAAGGAAAGAAAGGAAGGAGGCTAAACAGTTGATAGACAGCTGAAACTGACCAGAAGAGAAGAAGAAAGGAAATAATAATACTAGCGAGCCGAGCGATTAAATCTGGTCAAGGAGGGGGGAAAAGAGAGCGAGAAAAAGGTCAAGTTCTGGCCCGGCGATAGAGTTTAACCCATTAATCCCATGGCTGCCCAGCACAGCCACGGGGGGGGTTTCTTCTCAGCGGGGCTCAATCTCGAAGGGAAATCCTATCTATAGGGATTGGATGGTGGAGGTCGGAGTGATGGAGCGGCCACGCAAGGCTGATGCTCCTCCAGGCAG